TTTCTTCTTCTTCAGAAAATTGAGCTCTCTCACCAAGGAATGGGGGTATGTTCAAAGAGACACCATGTGGTAAATCCTCCTCAATTTCAAAGCCTCTATCTGCCATGATCTGATCACCAACTTCCAATAACTTAAAGATGCCACAGTCTTTTGTCAGTTGTTTGTCCGATGTATTACCTGCATACAGCTCAGAAACAAAAGTAAGGTCCCTCTTGGAGATATTCCAATAAGACCTTTGCCGGTGTTATGATTCTTGTAGGTGAAAATGTTGCGCTTTGGCTTCTTGGTTGGGATGGTCTATCGATAAATAACTCAGTACAGTCAATTATAACTCTTGTGTCTGGATAGGTTTCCTTGAAACTCTGTGGCATTGTTTCTCTAACATAGCTTTGTGATGGCCAAATGGGGATGGATCTTAAAAATCTGTACAAAAAGTCAAGCCAGGTAATCCAAATTCTTGACACTTGGGATACAGAGATGTTGAACCTTTCAGCTAAGTCCCTTTCAAGCAAACCCAGTCTCAGTCTTGTAAGACACATGAAAAGTTCTTCCTCAGGAGACAAAAATCTCTTTGGTCCACACTTCTGGTTGTTGGTTTGTCCTGAATTATTGGAAGATCCAACATATCTTAATCTTTCACAAGATGGACAAAGATAATCATAAAATGCCTTAAATGTACTGTAGCTAGAAAATCCAGTATAAAACTCAAAATCACTATTGTTATCTTTAAATCTTTGAATTGAGAAACGACATTGAATTTTTCTGTTTAGGTCAAAAATTTCTTTTTGTTTCTTTTCATTTTCCTTCTGAAGGTTCTCTACTAGCGCTTCAAGTTCTGAAACCTTAGCTTCTAGACTTGGTCTTTCATCTTCTCTTTCACTTTCTTTAACTACATAAATCCTCTCCCTGCATTTAAAAGTTGTTCTTGGCTTTGCTTGTTTGGGCTGTAATAGTTTTTCCACTATATTTGGAACATTATGAAGGCATGTCTTCTTGCCACCAACAAAATGTTTTGAACAGACTCTATGATGTTTTTTTGGTACAAATTAACCCTTCCAATCCAATGCAACCACATCTTCCTGAGCTTTTTATCAGTTGGAATTACATAAAATGAAAGTTCTGGGTTCTTTCTAGTGTTACTATCACAACTAGGAATGCAGCAAGTTGTTCCCCCTCCTTTATACTTTCTTTTAGGACATGGAGCTTTTATCTCACCTCTATCTGCCCCCAATGAAGTTTCTGGCTCATTATCCATAGTAAAAAGTTATATTACTTAATTTAAACTTATATGTTTATGAATTTTAAAACTATGATTTTAAGATTAAATATGTACAAACTTACTAGAAGTTTTTATTATTAGGGCCTGCCTAATAAATTAATATAATATTTTAGACCTAGCCTAGCTTCTATATCTAGTAAATTTTAAAAATTACCTAAGCTATAAATATATTGTACTTATTTACTATGTTAAATTTTAAATCGTTAATATTAAATAGCTTTACCTACGAATTTAATATATCTAGCACTATAAAAATATTTTAATACTATAACCACTTGAATATTCTACGAGAAAGTGGAAATGAGCCGTCGACAACAAAAAGAGCAGATAAACGAACAACCAAAGTCAAAACTGCTTTCTTCTTAGCGTTTTTAGCAAAGTAACAGTGCCGGGTCGGATAAAACCGGTTTGGGTTGCTTAAATTTCGCGCCAAAAGATTTAAAGCCCCTTTGAACGTATTGCCCTTGAACGCCATGCTGATCGAACGATCGACAGATATTTTGATAAACATTTGTCGATTTCAACAAGCGAAAGAATCCGCACAAAATACTCGATCGTTGTGAAATTACTTTGTATACATCGAGCAATGGCATGCACGCATTTGTAGGTCAAAATGGTGGGATGTAGAATGCTTGCGAAAAGTACTCACCTCAAAAGGACAAGAAGAAACGTCCTCTTAGAACGTATTTACGAACCAATTTTCCGCTCCCTCTGTTGTTCGGTGCACATTTTTAAGCTCATTTTTGCTTCGATTGCAATGCAATTTGAACAAAACAAACTTTGCAGCATTAGGAACACGTCGATGTATTAAAAGTTAGCAAATGTTGCGAAAAAAGCGTATTAAAAAAGCGATACTTCTCGCATGCGAAATGCTCGCTTCGATGGCGGCCATTTCGCCTGCAAGACAAGGTTACCACATTTCCCATGATGCTTTGCTATAATGGGAATTGCCTATTAAAATAGAGGGAAACTCGAATGTGGTCAGGACTTTTCACGGTTTAACAAATAACAAGACCAAATTTTTGCCCGAATTCAGTATGTATAATAAAATCGGAAGATTTTACACTTGATGATATTTCATCCACAGCTTCAAAAAGTAATTCTTTTGTGGTAAACACAACTTTAATATTCTCAAATGTATTTCACTATAAATCTGAATGTGTTATGTGATAAACGACATTAAAATTTCATTTATAAACTCCGTTTTTATAATGACAAAAAGAAAATATAATTATAAAAAAAATAATTAAAATAATTTACCATAACACTGACTATAGATGAGTAACTTAACTTCCAGAAAAAGGTAAGAATCTTGTCGTATTTTTGCCATTTTTTCACAAAAATATGAGGGTAAACTAGAGTTCACTGGGGTAAACTTTGATTCTTTAAAAATATACGGCCGTTGCGAGTTGCTATGACAACAGTGCTTCCACGTGCATAAAAATATTTCCACACTTTTCTCAATTTCTTTTTCTCACATACGTAATTTTTCTAACAATCATGTTACCATCCCCATGCTTAATTAATAACTAATTTTGTTAAACCGAGGCGAGGGGTTTCTGCATGCATGTATTTCTAGTAATTTATAAAACAGGGCAACTTGTTACTGCCATTTGCTGAATAAAATAATGCTTAATATTTTTTCTATTAGTGTAACTTTGTAGTTGTAGATTCAACGCTCACCGATCACCGCTTTTTCGTCTTTAAAGTACTCGCCTTCGCTTTAAAATTTGCCAAACGTATTAACGTGACCTCGGTTGTTTCCGTTCTTCGAAAACAATGAAATTATCCGGAAGTAGAAGAACCGTTCGTCATCTTTCGTATATCCGATGATTGCCGAAGATGTGGCACCCACAAACATACATCCGGACACTTTTTCGAATACATAGTGGTTAGCCGCGAATGCGCAGCCTACCCACAAAAACAGGGCAACTTGTTACTTTTTATTTCCTATTAGTGTAACTTTGTAGTTGTAGATTCAACGCTCACCGATCACCGCTTTTTCGTCTTTAAAGTACTCAACTTCGGTTTAAAATTTGACAAACGTATTAACGTTGCTTCCGAGTTCCGTCCTTCGAAGTTCGAAAACAACGAAATTTTCCGGAAGTAGAACGTACCGTTCGTCATCTTTCGTATATCCGACGATTGCCGAAGATTATCCGACGATTGCCACAAACACACACACACACACACACACACACACACACACACACACACACACAGATCCGGACACTTTTTCGACTACATAGCAGTGAACTCCATAATATATATCTGGAATGATAACTTCCATACTTTAAGCGCGCGAAAAATGAAGCCTAACCCCCAGTTTTCCTACGCGGTTTGTACGTCGGTTTCAGTCCCCCAAACATCAAAATCACGCGGTTTGTACGTCAGTCTCAGTCCCTGAATGCAAACCGTTACACGGCCAGTATAAATTTGAATGCAATCACGAAAAATATAACAAACTGAATCAGTCCCAATGCAATGCATTTCGGAGCGCGCAAACCACTTAAAAACACGTATCTAAAATCTATTGCATTGAGAATTTAAGATTGAATTGAGAAAGAATCGTGAGGAAAACGTTTTCACTGGGAAAGTTAGTCTAAAAATGCCGATATATTGCGTCGTTTCTTCGTGCAAAAGCGAACAGTACGGAGCTAGAAATCAGTCTCGCCAGCTAATTTCGTTTCACAGGTTGGTAAACTGACTTCGCCGAAGTCTGCCACAAGTTTTTAGATTGTTTTTAAGTTCGTCGCACCGAAATTCACTCAAAAAGTGAGAAAGTGTTTCATTTAATTGCTTCGATAATTAATTTAAAATAATATTTGTTTTGAATATTCAACAGTGAAATTTTCCCGCTTAAAAGCGTAATTTAAAACATCAAAATACCATTCCGCATATGATGGAACTCATAATTTACGTTATAAGTTGAAAAACTCTTTTCCCAGTAGATGTTAGCCCTATTTTATATCTTTTGTACAATCAACTATCGGCATAACAGCCCGTTAACAAGCGCATTTATACGCTGAAATATGCACTCGGCGATCACAAACAACAAATGAGTAATAACCGCGCAGAAGACTATGTCCGATACGATGACGAATGCAATGACGTGTCGTGGCTTCACCACTCAGTTCCACTCAGTGGGCTTCACTTAATCGGCCACAGTTATCATTCCAGATATATATATATATATATATATATATATATATATATATATATATATATATATATATATATATATATATATATATATCGATATACCAAAGTATAGAGCTAGAGTATAAAGATAAAATAAAATAAACTTGGTTTACTTCATAAGATTTTATTCACTACAAACTTGTTTCGTATGACAAGCAACGCTTGCGACACTCATCAGGTGATTTTAAATTCAAGCGTTGCTTGTCATACGAAACAAGTTTGTAGTGAATAAAATCTTATGAAGTAAACCAAGTTGATTTTATTTTATCTTTATCTATATATATATATATATAATATTATAAATTATATATATATATATATATATATATATATATATATATATATATATATATATATATATATATATATGGAGTTCACTGCTACATAGTGGTTAGCCACGCATGCGCAGGCTACCCACCGAAATACGAGAACATATATCACAAACATTCTCAGTGATGACGGATAAAAAAACAAGTGCATTAAAACAGAAGCCCATAGCCATTTAGAGAAGAAGACTCACCTCTTTTCAGGAATGATGAAGTAAACATTAAAGATGAACCATAGTTGCTTTACATTTCCCAATTGAGATGTAAGGTCTATAATTTCTCTTGCCGTAAACTACCTAAAGACGTGCAAGAATATATATTGTGAAATAGGCAATTATATTATATACCTTAACTGAAATTCTAGTCGGTTAATACAGAATTCCTTTCGCGCGATTCCCACAATTTAAGTTACCATGGTCAATAGTACAATGCGATTGGAATATCAGCTCTTACAAAAATCTTAATCCTTGATACTCCAGTTGTGTCTTCCAAAAAAATACAGGCATTTTTTTTCAAATTTTCACTCGGGCAAATTCTCAGGGCTAATCAACATGCTAGTGTTTTTTTAATGACCCACAGACATACGCAACTTGAAAGTCAAATATTTGACTTAACGGAAATATTTGCAATAAAGATAGTCAACAGTTATGTAACTCGGTGTAATAAATAAGTAGATCGAGGCAATGTATGTAGGGGTTGTTTTTTATGCTACCCGCGCGCGGAGTGAAAACCCGCAGAAATTATTCAGGACATTGTAGGTTAAAATTTGACATTAGACACAGAAAACTAATTCAACGTTCAACTATAACTATTCAGATAACACAATGAAAACTGCTGGGTATGCGGGGGATGAGGTAATGTTTCAATTTAATGACGCTATGTTTAAGCTTTGTAACTTTTTGAACTGCTGTTGTATGGTTGAGCTTTGTTATCTACCACTTACCGATCGTGCTGTTCAGCTGTGCCACCAGACCTCTTATATGAACATTATCCTTACTTCCATCTAAAACGTAAGTTGGCTCAGTATTTTCAGTTTTAGCATTTGTATTAGCCATGGATTGGGTCAGTTCGCAGTTTCTCGCCTTCACTTCTCGAATTTATCCAGTCTACTTTATTTTATCCAGACTTGTCACATATTCTGAAATGTTTAGTAAACCTAGAAACGATGTGAAACGAAGTCCAGTTAACCAACCATGCCCATCACAAGCCCGGACTGGTAAACAAACTACGAAGAAAGTACACGATGGTTACACGGAAATCACTTTCCCACCACGAGTGTTTGATCGTAAAATGACAAGCTATATTGTCGTCAAAAAATTTGCCATTTTAAAGTTTCGATCACTCACAACTGAAATATGAACATTATTAGTCACACAAAATCGAAAACATTCGATTGCAATTCCGCCATGATCTTTGGGGCATACCCGATTCGTGAATTTTGACGTCGGGCGCGTGATGAAAGGACTGATGAAATATTATGTGGCAGATCACCAATGAGGGTTATAAGGCCGGGTTACAAGTCACGAAATATATTGTAATAATTAATTAAATATGTAATGCATAATTATAAGGCACTAATAATATAATGCTACCATTAAATTGTTCTACGGTTTTATGGTTTCATGGTTCTACGGTTCTATGGTTCTACGGTTCTACGGTTCTACGCTTCTACGGTTCCATGGTTCTATGGTTCTACGGTTCCAGGGTTCTACGGTTCCAGGATTCTACGGTTCCATTGTTCTACGGTTCTATGGTTCTACGTAGGGGTGGATCCAGACTGATGTCTGATGCGACTGATGCGAATGCATCAGTCAAAATTTCACGAGCATAGTAATTGAACACTAAATACGGAAAATTGCAATAAATACGGAATTTTCCAAAAATCTCTAATAAAGTTTATTATTTATTCTCTTTTCGGTTTACACTGTCTTACAATTCGTAAAAAACTAAAAACGATTGTTAATAAATCCAAAAAAGGCAAAGCGAGACGATGTTTGAAATTTTAATTAAAATTTCGCCTTTCTCTCGTTGTACGGTTGGTTGTCGTGACACTATATCCCCGAATATGTCGATTATGCATCCACTCTGACTTATCCACTCTGTCGTGACACTATATCCCCAAATATGTCGATTATGCATCCACTCTGACTCTTATCATATTACCGTCAGTGGATGCGTTTACGTAAGATTGGTTCACAAGGGAATGAGGGATATTTACTGTCAACAATCAGGTGTATACAATTAATTTATCAAACCATGGAAGAAAAACAAAATATTTCACCTATGATAATTTAGAAATATCGCTTCCTTGCTGACTCAATTGTGGTGGAAGAGTAAGGGATAACCTTGTTGATGTACATAATCTTTATGATTATTTATGTTTACCACCTCTATGATACCTTTAAGAAATGGATTTGAATTGTTAAACATATCAATAATTCAATTTATTCTGATACAGGGTTCATGGAGCATAAGAATGCCAGGGGTAGAAACAATTTAAGAAAAAATCCTGCACTTCAGCTTGTTACAGAGGTAAGTTTGCTTTTAGTTTACAGCTTTCATATTGATATAAGGTACCATAATTCTTGTTGACAAACTATCCAAACAGATAATTGACTGCCAAATTTCTTTGTTAGACATAATACCCATGTGTGCTACTTCGCTACTTTTTAGTTACCTGCCATATTTTGTATAAAATTCTCATTGATATTTTAGTTAATTGACAGAGTAAGGGTTCTAAATTACCAGTAGAATAATTTTCTTTCACAATGTATCTGGCAAACTCTATTAATTCTTTTTCAGGTAAAAGCAGAATTTTAAAGAGTAAACCACAAATTAATCCATGATATGGTTGGCAAATTTCAATCCATTGATTGAGAAAAATATTTTGGACTATGCCAAGAAATGTAACAAGAAACTACATTTGTTCTTATAAACAGAGTGGAGAGAGCAAATTGCTGGGAAATCAGGTAAGTCATGCAATTAATAATAATTTGTCCAAACCAATGGCAAAATTACAGTATTATAGCAATACAGGCTATTCCTACATGAAATATGGCCTATTTATAATCTATCTATCTTGATAAACAATTTTTTCAACAGACATCACAAACACGACAAAAAATGTTGGCTTACATGATTTCACTACATTTTATTATCTATAGGTATTATTTACAAACAGTTAAAAAATGTACTATGAAGTTAAGCATGCCGTCACACTAAGGAGTCAAAAGAAACATTTGCATGTAAATACCTATATAGGTGATTACAACAAATTTTAGCAAGTATACAAATAAGTTGCACCATATAGCAAAATTTATAGGTATGGATAACAGTTTTTAATAGCATGCATGAGTTACAAGCAAACATGTTAAAGCAATAATAATGTTACAATATATAAAATTATATTACTACCGTTTTTTATGCAATCAATATGTTCAACAGAGCTTATCTCTTTAATTAAAAACATATATATTATGTTACACAGGTAAAATATTAAAAACAAACTTTTCCAAGCTTTCGGACGAACGCGTCCATCATCAGGGAATAACTGGCGTAAAACAAATTCTAGCCTTAAATACGGTCTACAAATGTGCATACATTAATAATTATACAATAATAATTAAGCCTAAGGTTAAAACCTATTATAGAGGAAGCGTACCAAAAGCCCAATTATATAACACAGTACTCTCTGTTTAAAGAATGACAATAATTCATAGTTCTTATTTCTTTAAAATCGGCTTATAAACGTCAGGAAGTATCCTACCATTATCTCTGTTCGAAATACCGTTACCCGATTGCTCAATCATACATGCTTCTTTCCATTTACGTTGCGCCCATCTGCTCTCTTTACATAATAATTTTGAATCGTTCATGCTATATCATGTTCACAATCATACCCATGCTTAGCTAAAGCTGACTTTTCAATCTTCCCCAAACGGACTGCTGCCTTGTGTTCCTTCTCTCGCGTTCCAAAAGCTCGTCCTGTTTCACCAATGTATTCTACATCACAGCCCGCACAGGGGATGCTATACACCTCCCCTGTCTGTTCTTGGATTGATAATACATCCTTTGGTTTTACTAACTGTTTTTTCAACGTGCATACCGGCCTCATTGCAACTTTAAATCCGTTTTTAATTAATGTCCGTTTTAATCGTTCCGTTGTACCTTGAATATATGGAAGGACTACTAAACCATTGCCCTTATCCCGGTCTGTTGGTTGTTCAGCATCGCCCACTGATAAATTACCACTTCCAATTTCCCTACAAATTCTCGTTAACATTTCTTTAGGGTAACCGTTGCCTCTCAAAACTTTATATACTCGTTTCTCTTCTTGCTTTTGCTCCTTCGCATCATTACATACGCCAACTGCTCTCATAAAAAGTGTCCTCGCAACCGCATTCTTATGCTGCCTTGGATGATGGGAATCGAACGGTAAATATCGATCCGAATGCGTCGGCTTTCGGTATACCTTTGTGTGGATCATACCATCATCACTAACTTTATTTAGCGTATCAAGAAACGCAAGGCCTTCCTTCTTATTATATCTCTCCACTGTAAACTTAATGTGATCACTTTGAGTGTTCAAATGGTCATGGAAGTTAGAAATCTGCGATTTCTTCAGTGCTGTGATCGTGTCATCCACAAATCTGTAATAAAACCTCGGACTATCAAC